GTACTCTTTCATCAGGTTAATAGGAGCTTTGATCATAGCGTCCGTGGTGATTGACTTGCGCCGCTCCCTAAGGGCAACTGACTCCTCTTCCTTCTCAGCTAGCGCTTTCTTTGCTTCATCCAACTCCGACTTGACTTATCACAACTTGACGATGCTCTCCTTTGACAGTTTCAACGTCAAAGCCTCCCAAGTGCATAGGCTAGTGTTAGACTTGGTCAACTCTTGGATTTTTACGTCCTGGGCAACCACGACCTTCTTTAGGTAGAGGTTCCCACACAAAGCCTACAAAAGAGCATACAATTAAGAGTTGTATACTTAAACAAAAAATTTCAAAGCCAAGACTTACCTGAAACTATCGAGCCACAGCCCACTCAGCTGCAACAGTCATCCCCATCTGATTCAGTCGTCGACTCTCATCCGTCGGGAGCAGAAAGGACACTGAGCTTTCTCATCTCAACCACGTCAGAATAGACAGAGGCGATCGTCGGAAGGGTGATTGTCAATTTCTCGGCATCCTTGTCGATTTGGACACTCTTCGACAACCTGGATCTAGCCAACGATTGCCCAGCTGATAGAGTTGACTCAGTTCGTTCCATTTGAATTTTTTCTCTCGACCTCAACGTCGACTCCCTCTTTCTCATAGGTTGGTGTTGTGCAGCTGCTTCACTTGCCCTCGGGATGTCCATGTTGATGTTCCTCTTCAACCTCTCTGTAAGGGCAAACTCTTCAGGAATGCGAAGATGCGAGTGGTTGCCTAAACGTGTTTTCCCTTTCTTTCTAAGCGCCTAGCCTGTTAGAGGTGTACGTGGTAGCTGCCGATTAAGCATGACTGTTTGAATTCTCACTCAAAGTGAAAATGAAATCCCTATGGTACACGTGTCGTGTGATAGGCTCATCACGTGATTTGTAATCTTTCGTTTCCTGCTCAAAGCCTATGAAACCCTACATTACAAGCATCTCGTTCTCCCAGTGTCACGCTCAGACAGAACTCATCTCACCCAGACAAGCCGATTCGAGCTCCAGTCCTTGAAGAGGTGAAATCTTTCTCTCAAAAGTTCATAGACAAAAAACATTAGCACTCGGTTTGGTTGACCAAGTGACGACATCCACAAAGAGTGTACCTTGCATCTTCTCGCTTGGTTTGGTCAGCCGAATGAAGACATTTACAAAGGATGCCCCTGGCATCCTACCACTCAGCTCGGTCGGTCGAGTGGGCACAACTACAAAGGATGCACTTAGCATCCCGCCACTCGGCTCAGTCAGCCGAGTAGGCACATCTACAAAGGTTTCACCTCGCATCCCGTCACTCGGCTCGATCAACCAAGTGGGCATATCTACGATAAAGGTAAAGGTACTTTGCATCATTCGTTGGGACAGAACACCTTCATTCGATCGAGGGTACGCTCGCTCAACCGAAGATACCGTCATCCAATCTGGTTAACCTCCAGCCAAACTGATTACTCTCCAAGCTAAATACTCCTTAGCTTAGAGAGTGAGGGGCCAACTGTACGAGCCAACAATCGTCTTGGGCCTTATTAGGCCCAAGCAGGTATTTTCTACCATGTAGGCCCAAGGCCGTGGTCCAATTCTGGTTGGGCCTATATCAAAATTCATGTCATAGGCCAAAACGCACAGCCCAGACCCAGCCTCTCTCTAGATTGGGCATCACTATTGGCCCACCTAGGGCCAGGCTCATTGGTCCAAGATAATTAGGACTCTTCTTATTTGGATTCTATCCTAATTCGCCTAAGATTTTGTATCTTATGTGAATTAGGACTCTTAATCCTACTGAGGCAAGTAAATCATGATCTTTTCCTATTCATTAAACCATTTTCCTATTCACTAAACCACTACTATTATGGACTCAAAAGTCCTACTAGGATATGAAGATCCTATGACTACTATTTAAACAGGGGACACGCCTCTGTTTAGGCATTCAATCTCAATACCATTTACTTGCTCCAAAGCTCCTACTCTTAAGAGTTATATATCTACGCCGTAGTTCTAGTTTCCGATTAGACTTCCGATAACCTTTCATTCTCTTAGCCCTCACTAAATTGTCTCATTCAGCCTTGCTGACTTGGGCGTCGGATTGCCTACGGCAAACACCACATCAGTGTTTACGTAAGCTTCACACTTGTTTACTTTGTGTGGAGGTACAACGGATTGTCAGTACCTTCAACCTCACAAGGTCAAACCTTCTTTCCGTAACCATAGATTTTAGCATCTACGTTGATAAATTAATAATTTATTAATTTATAGAGTGTATTTACACAAACATACATTTAATCAACTAAAAATTCAGTGTATATTACCAATCTAATAAATTGAATTTGAGTTAATCCAATAAATATGCATTAAAGCATTAATTTAAATTCATTGTACTTATGTACTTAATTAAAAAATATTCCTTATATATAATAAATTGATTGTACTTATTTACTTAATTAAATAATATTCCTTGTATATAATAAATTGATTGTACTTATTTACTTAATTAAATAATATTCCTTGTATATAATAAATTGATTGTACTTATTTACTTAATTAAAAAATATTCATTGTATATAATTGCATTAATCTAATTAAATGTATTCAACAAAAAAAATATGTGTATAATTAAATTAAATTAAATGCATTTATTGTATTTAATATCTTTAATTATATTAAATGTATTTAACCAACTAGATTAAAAATAATCTTTATATAAACAAATACAAAGTCTTATTATATTTCATAATCACAATGACTTTCTATCTAAAAAGTGTTAAAAAATTAACATGACAGATGAGATGCGTAGTATAGTAATTTTTTTTATAGCAATTCGACAATTTAACCCTAAAACTTCTAAATGCAATGAAAAAAGTTAGAGATGAGATCTAACCAAATTTAAATTTTGAGAAAAAATAAGTAACAATAGAGTCATATTTTAATAAAATATCTGGTCAATTAATAAATTATTTATTTATAATATGAACGGAACCACAAAGTTATATAAGGTTTTCTAGAAAAGTATTATTTTATTAATTTATTAAAATTATTAATTTAATCTAATAACCGGGACTATAAGAAATTATTATATAATAGAGATTATTAATTTATCGAATATTAATTTATAGAGGTTATACTGTACAAATACACTATATACGGATTGTAATTTGTAGTGAAATTAAATGAATTTCAATCAAAATTCACCGTAAACATCACGAGGAATAAACAAAAACAATAGTATGGTTTTACATAGAAGCGATGCAAAAAAGAAATGTGATCTTTTTTATGGGGTTGTCAAGTCTGAAACTCTTAAATGAGAAGATAAAGATTAGAAATAGAAATAGAAAAGAGCAAAGTTGTAATAGCCCCATCCTCCTGCACCTGAAAGTTGAAAAACAAGCAATGGAAATAATGGTGGTTCACCAGAGAAAATATACCTTGGACATGTATTCTTGTTTGAACATGAACATCCCACTTTTCCTTTGTTAAATCAATTCAGCTATTTAAGGGAAGAAAACCAGCAAATGTTCTTGTGTGCAAACCCAATGTCTTCATATGCAGACACAAATACCAAAGAAATGGGTTCTACATTTTACTGGTATTCACTACCTCAAATGTATGTATAAGGTTGATTTTAACAGATACAAAGAACTCAATGAACTACCAAATATATATCGTTCACTATTCTTTGGAGGTGAATACCCTTACCCTTCATTGGAATATGCATAACAAAGCCAATGAGAGTACAACTACCAAAATATATCCGGCAATTGAAACTAAATGATTTGCTATGAGATACAGAAATTAAATTATAATGAAAACCAAATAACATAAAACAGTTTATTTCACCTCCAAAAACCAGCTAGAAATGAGAACCAGGTTAAACCACAAGTTCCATTTTAAGTTTACAGATTGAAGTAATTGTTTACAATATAAAAGCCAGATCTTTCAAATGTAAAAAGGCATCGAATACTCTAATCATCTTAAAAGCATAATTATTAGTATTATGAATTATGGTTACAGACATTTTCTGATTTGGAAATATCAGCCCCAAGGCCTTGGCTCAAACAATGACTAGACTATAGCAGGTCTTAGGTTTGAATATTGCATATTGAACCAACAAAAAGTGAAAAAAAAAAAAAAAAAAATTAAGCTTCAATGTGAAGCAACAGAGCTTCCTAGCAAGGCATATTCCCGGCCAAAACTAGGCCTGAGGTTTGAGGAAACAAGTTGTCTCTAGGTGAGCTACAAAATTCTGAGATATAAACACCCCAATAGAGTCTGGCCTATGCTGCCAGGCCTTAAGCATGTTCCTAAACTTCTGCTTGCAGATAACTTTAGCAGAACACAGAAGGTAAAAATAAATAAATTGAATAAAAACTGCTAAACCGCTAATACAAAAAAAAATGTTAGGACTTCAACACCACCAATTAGCTATAAAAACAAAAGAAAGTAAGAAAAAGAGAGATGTACCTGTTTCAGCCCGATATAGCTGAATACCAGTTAATTGGACTTGTGAAGATGACAGCATAGCTCTACATCACGATTAACTCTTGTCAAGAATAAGACAATTAGAAACGCCTGCGATTTTCCAGCAACCACCAAGCACTTAAACGCCAAAACAGAAGAAACTATGATTTATCAGAAAGGCATATGGGAGGTCCTGCAATCATGTCATGACCTCGTATTTGAAAAGTACACAAGATCACAAAATCACAGCTCATCATCTCTTCCAATCTGCACTGGCCAAAAATAAAGAAATAAGATCTGCAGCAGATGATTCTATTGAACTAAACAACTTATGAAAAACTTTACCAACAATATCCTGAGAGATTTATCTATTATAACCAGAGACAGCATCAAAAGGGATATAAACCAAGAAAGAATTTAAAATTGAGAATCGAATCTGCAACATGAGTGATTGCCAGGACAAAATATATCCAAAAATTATTATACGACATTAAGTGTTGATAGAAAACTCTGCATACGAGTATGCTCGCAAAGGATAATACACTGAATAAAAAGATAATTTTATTGAAAATATAAATGTATATACAAGAAACATCATTGTTCTCTGATTGGTAAAAGCTACAGCCAGGATACAGAGTTGGCTAAGACATAATGCTAGGGCATGCTAATTTGCACCTTGGAACAGCAGATCTTTACAGTCGAAGTTGCCAACTTAATACAGGAGCAAAATCCAAAATCTCAAAAAGGATCACTCGAAAATCAACTTGTGGAGGGGTCTACAAAAGAATCTATATAACCTAATTGTGGACTGGATAGCTGAATGACCGTCCACGTAACTGGTCATTTCTTGACAACAGCAATTATGTTTGATTTGTCAATAGTATAATGAACAAGACTATACAAAAAGCGTAACTTCAAACCATCATATTTAAGTCTGAAAGGTCATCCATTGGAATTTCAAGGCCCATGAAGTCATGATCTTGTAATGCATCATCCTCAATGTTCAACCATGAACCAAGATCCTGAGCATGATCATCAGAATCACCTAAGACATCTAATGATATCTGTGAGAAGTCAATAGGCTCAGAACCATCCAATACATCCAAGTTAAACTCTTCTTTTACTTTGGCATTACTGTTGGTAGCCATTTCACTTGACTTTGACACGGATGCTGTTGGTTTGGGTTGCTCTGACATCTTTCCAAGAAGGCCATTTACAGAAACAGATAGTTGAGTAATTTTCTGCTTAGGCTTTGTTTTAGATTTCCTTTCCCCCTTAGCATTTGATAATGCTGGCCTACCAATTTTATTAGTTCCATTTCTAGATAAAACTTCTCTGCTATGTCCCTTTCCATCTCTGTCTCTTTCACTTCTCTTTCCCTTTGTACTGCTTAATAGGGAAGTTCCAATGCTTGATGGGGCACTTGTGGTACCAATAGTACCAACCACATCATCAAGCAACAACTCCCTTTTCTTCACCCTGTTTGACCATGTATCTTCTTTACCAGTACTTTGTTCAGATGAGCGATTTATTGCTGGAAGCATATCAGAACTATCCCCATTCTGACCCAACTGTGATGTTGAAGGACTTGGCTGTGAGCCCATGGATGCTGCAGAAAAGAGCAAAAGTAATAATCCAAATGTTAACCATGACACATGGAAAAAAAAAAAATGCAGAAACATAAAAGAGAGAAAAAGGCACGCACAAAAAAGCTCACCAAGATATTTGCCAAATTTATCAAAGAATACTAGAGAAAAAATCATTTTTTCTTTTTTTATAAGAAACCAAAGACTTGTATTAGCCCATTTGAATATTCATATATGCGCTAAGAATAAAAGTAAATTCCAAGTATTTTATCCAGGAGGGACAATATAAAGATACCTGAAACTCTAACTTCCAGAGAATGGCCAGAGGTATTGGCAAATGATCTCGCAGATTCACCATCTGTGGGAGCATTTATGGGCTGTCCACCATTTAGGTGGGAATACCCAGAAAGAAACATATCCTTAAATAACTGTTCACTAAAGCAGCTCTTACCCGTATCTTCATATTTATGACATCTGTCTAATGTTCGTTTTACAAATGCTAGCGCAGTTTGCTTGGCCATTTTGTTACTGGAACTCTTACCACCAGTGGCATTAGGACCCCAACAAGTCTATCAAACCAAAAATAAATTAATCAATCATAAATAAAATGCAGCAGCTCGATTTTGTATTATAGCATAATCAAGATAACCAGAGGAAAGAATGAGATCACTAATTTAATTTAAATAAAGCACTTCAATTTACATATAGTGAGGATAAGATATAAAATAACACAAAACGGTAATAGGAAAAAAATCCATTCAAACAGGAACTGTGGGTCAGTAATTATGTAGACATCCAACCTAGCAACAGATAGATTCCTGTTCAGTGAAAGACATTATTTATATTGAAGGAGACTGCAGAAGATTAGAGTCTAGGTATATTCTTCAGAAAATTCTGGGGTAGCTCAAGCCAATTACGGTTGGAAATTTGGATCTGATATCTCATTCAACCTGTCCTACACCACTCAATCTATGGGCTTGTTCAAAATGAATATAGATGCTCTTTCTTCTTTCTTCATCTCAATGTATAGATGTCCTTCCAATTAAAAAAATGAAATCGCTAGTATTGCCACCTTTGAACACCCTGCTGAGGTCGTACAAACACTGGGTAACGACCTCTTTCCAGTATTGCCCTCTTTAAGCAGAAGAGAAAAGTATAACCGCTAAGATCATCTTTACTCGAAAATAGCCAAATGTCCTTCCAGAATCTAACAGTAATCAATGACATGCCTACTCTCTTCAGAGACAAGATTTTTGAAAGGTCTGGAACACCTCAAATTAATCTTTCTTTGCCCCTATATATCTCTCAAATTCTTGACTCATTTAGTTAATTCTGAAACCTGCTTGACCAAAACTCCAGCATAGCACATTTTTAACTAGAACCTGCTTTGAAGACTATCCTAGATGGCTTTATGCCTAGTCAAAGGAATGTACAACATCAATTTGGCACTGCAGCACTTAAATGCAGCATCCCAATAATCCATTTGACCATAACAGGAAAATGAAAAGAGCAACTAATAATGAAAAAAGATATTGATCGTTAAGAGAGCTTACCATATACTTCTCATATGCCATTGCAACGAGTTTGTCAAGGGCACTTTGTTCAAACTCCCTATACAAAAAGCAGAATACGTGCGAACACCATAAGTACCAAAAAAAAATTGAGCTAAAAGACAAAAGCACACACATTCATCTCTAGGGAATAAGAAAAAGACAAATTCATTACTTTTCTTGAAGTTCTTTCACTTCTGAGGCAGACTTCAAGAGTTTATCAAGCAACCCTTGCTTCTTGGATACCTATTGCATCAAAATCAGATCAAGAGATGAAATTCTCAAGAATAAAACTTACTTCAGGGCAAGCAATATCCATAAATAATATGTTGTGCACAGAAAGTTCAAATTTGTGGAATATCCCATGACAACTCAAAGAAGGGTGAAAATGAATATTGTACAAATAAAAGAAAAGGTAGATTTCAAATAAAGGCGTTTAAGGTTGTAAATTACCTGTTCGTGGTGCCTCTTTGCTAATTTTTTGATTTCATCACTGATTCCTTCATCTTCTAACTGTACTATGTCAGTCTGAGAAAAAGAAGGATGTTCAACTAGTCAAATATCTTCAAATAAAAATAAGATAAAAACAACACACAACAAAATGCTAAGCATATCCCAAGAACAAGATAACCCTAGAGCCAAAGCCAAATATCACACAGACACACAGGATCCTGTAAGGGCAAAAAGATGAGAGGACATGAAGTGAAAATTCCATGGGAGTGCATTATTCAACAATTGAGAGAGTGTTTTTGTGTTGTGGAGGCTGAGGAGGCAGCTGGAATCAGATTTGGATAAAATGGCCAATTAAAGCAATACTACTGAATTAGAATTAGAAGACTTCTGGTAGAATAAACCTACCAGCGATTCTGGGAAAATACCAACACTCCTAGCTTCCAGAAGAAGTTTCTCATTCATCTGCATACTATCATACTGAAATTCTGAAAAGGTCATGCCAGGTATCAATGCTTGATCAGGAAGTACACCACTTAGGGACTGACCAAAGTTTGAGTTAATCCCAGAATTTGAAATTCCCAATATATCAATTTCTGGCTCATCATCAATATTTCTTTTTCCAGTTATCCTATAACCATTAAAACCAGTATGCTCAGACTGAAAGTTCAATAGATGATCCAAAAGATTAGGTTCCATCTCTCCATCTAGCTCAAATCCAACTCCATATGCATCAATTTGGAGGTCCTCATTCTCACTGCTATAATCTTCCTCTATAACTAAAGCAGCTATGAGCCTCTGGTAAAGCGGGATCGAAGCATGATCTCTTGCACCAGTTACTAACTGTTCCATAAGGAGATCACCTCTCCCTGTTTCAAGCCCAACCTCTCTCTCCTGTTCTGCCAACCCATATCCATTAGGTACAGAAGTGCAACCACCTGTGTTAGAAGGAAACAGTTTTGGTGTTGGTGTGGCAGATTCAAGATTTCCCTAAAAGATAGTAAGAATTAGAAACAGTTAGAATAACATTACTAATGACAAAAAACAGACACTTGAGAGATTAAAACGCACAAATAAAGGAACTGTAGATAAAAATACAAAAGTTAATTTAACCGTGAACTACTTTTTTTCCTTTTCTTTGGTAGGGTGGAGGAATAAATTATAGTATCATCTAATCCCAACTACATGGAAAACTGATTATAGATCACAATAATGCATTCAAGATATGTGACAAAGAAAAAAATAATTATTTTGTTAATATATAACCATATGATGCGTAAAAAAATATAATAAAAATATGTGACCGCAATTTAAAATTAGGTATTAGCAGGCCTGAAACAAGCTGGTCCAGCTACAAAACTGCATATACCATGTCACAATATTACAACAATATGACCAAAAAAAAAAAGGGGTTAGGCTATTGTAACAGAAATGTTTTACACAAATTTGTGACACAAATTCTTTTCCTTGATTCCATGTAAACAACGACTTGGATGAGAATTAGTTAGTTATTTTTAAGCTAAGTAAGAATTTCTAAGCCACAAATTACCATGTATCAAAGTCATGAATTTGTGTCACAAATTTGTGTTACGATAGCTTAAACCCAAAAAAAAAAAAAAAAAAAAAAAAACTTAAAATTAAAATCAAAGGAAGCATCACCTGTAATAACACAGTATTTGATAATTCATATCATAAAGAGCATCACCTGTTGCTTTAAGTAAACAATTTCTCCATCAGATACAAAACCAAAGAGTGGCTCCATCTGCCTCCAAAATGAGCTGGAAAGAGCATGTGCTGAAGTGAAAATTAAATCCATCAGTCCAACAAGACAAGTGGTTACCAATAGAATGACAAAAAAAATTAATTGATATGATACCAGAATTAATAACAGCCTTTGCAGCAGCCTGTAGCTCTTCATGACCATCGTCTGAACCAACTACGAAAATTTTGAAACACAAATAGATGGAAAACAAAATAAGTAACTTCAATTAAATAGCAATCCCAAAAAAAAAATTCTTCATGAATTTGAAGCACAACTACCAAGAAAATCAGCTGCTGTACTGGTCATTGTATGCTTTTGACGTTTATAAGCCTTGCGGTCAGACAATTTCCTACTTGGGGGACGACCTGCCTTGCTGAAAAAATATTTCAAAAAGCTGTGAGATTTTCAACTAAGACACAGTTGCAACTACAAATTAGGGAAGACACATGTCCAAAAAACAAAATAGGTAAGGAGAAAATGTTTAACCTTTCAGTCTTATCAAATCCAAGTCTGGCACTTCTAAGCTGTTTTGCAGTTCCTACATGACCCAGCTTCCCAACCATCATTGGCGTGAGAGACCTTGTAGATGTAAAACCCCGCCCGGTTCGCCCCTGCCTCCGTACACCGTCTCCAAGATCTTCCCCAGAAACCAGCTTATTCTTTCTGGATGGCAGAATTAAAGTGGACTTCTTTTGAACATTTTGCCCAGCTTTCTCATCTACCTCATCAAACTTTCTGACCTTGTCTTTAGGTTTAATGTCAGCAACCCCCGATTCTTCACTTTCAGATAATGCCGATGAAGACAAGGGATCACCTTTCAATTTAACTTGCTGAGGAGAGTTGCCAGACAAGCGTTTAACAAATCCCATTCCAACTTCATTACCTGCTACATCAGATGAAGCATCCAAAGCAGGAGTTTTTTCGTTATTAGAAACAATAGGAAGCAAATTTGTCCTTCTTGCTGTACGGGAGTTCTTCTGCGGCCTCTGGCCAGCCCAATGAGCAACTGGTGATGAAGATCTAGCTGATGCTGTGCGCTTGCGATTGTTAGTACCAACAACCGCAGGTGGCTTGTTTGTACAATGAGAAAGTTCCCAGTCATTAGGAGCAGTTGCTCTATGGAAACCTGGGGACAACTTGGGTGGTGCAGCAACTGAACCTGATCGCGGAGCTCGAACAGATGCATTCATTTTGGTGTTTGAAGTAGGACTAGCTGATTTAAATTCATCCCGAGCATTCATCCTAAGCATTATTTAGAACATTTATAATGTAAATAAACACAGTATATAATAAAACATCTCAAAGGAGTACGAATGAGATGGCAGAATATAATTTTAAAATAAAAAATGAGCACAAGACTCCCATAAACAAGAAAAGGAGAAGACGCTGCAATTATGATGATAAATAAAAGATATGATAAGGGACACAATGCATACTTATTGACAGCTCTGAGATTCACCCTTTCTTTATCTGAACCTATAGAACGGTCTCTCCTTTCATTGAGAATGGAGTTGTTATCCAGTTCAGTCCTAGGGATGGATGTACGCACACCCAAGCCAGTCTGTTGTGAGATACCATCTGATTTTCCAATTCCAACAGCTCCATTAGCAACTCCTGGCCTATATTAAGATGCATATTAATATCATCTCAGAAAAGGAGCTTGAAAGGGTAATTATCGATGGAAAAAAATAAACTGAAAAAGAGATGATTTTTTAATATATTATTGAAGTAAGAATTTCAGTGAAATGACATACCAAAAATCCCTAACTCACAAATTCTGAAAACCATACTTACTTTTGAACATGATTAGAAAGAAAGTTTGTCCCATTCAACATGATTAGAAAGAAAGTTTGTCCCATTCATACTTCGTGGCCAAAACTCTTTTCAAAGGTTCTTCTCCACTGTTTTCAATTCAAATTAAGGGCAACTAATAGTTGCAAGAAGTTAACGAATCCAACAACTAGGCTTATGACTCCAAATCGATTAAGGTATTCATTATGGCAATCCTTGATGTCAAGCACTTATATCAATTAAGCACTCATGCTACTCAAAATTGGCAATCGAGCGGGTAGTATCTGTGGAGAGGAATACTGAAACCCTCCGCAGAACATAAGGTCAATTGATAATTATAAATTTATTCATTTAAATTTGGTAAGTTCACCTTCACATAATGCATGAAATTCAACATCTCAACCAATGCCCTAAACAATAAGGCGAAAATAAAAATCGGTGAATTAATCTTAATACCATATATTGAGATGGTTTTCCTCATTATTGCCGGGAGGCTAAACTGTATAGTGGTAATATAGCACAGGATGATAAAATCTACCATAAGCACAATAAATATAAAGTTATTTGAAAACATCTACATACATGTCAGTCATTCTTCTCCCCAATTCTTACCACAACGTCGGTCAAGGAAGCTTTCAAAGGTGTACCAATTTATCCCTTATATCTCTATCATAATTAAAAGCGGGCTTACAACAGAATAAGAAACTTAGGGCATAAAGAGCAACAAACGCTGCAATTAGCACAAAACTCAAATTCTTGAAACTTGGCTCTAATTTAAGAGCCTGAACTTCCCCAATTAGAAAATAATAGATAATTACAGCAAAATTATTATTATTGTTGTTGTTTGCTATCATTACTTTAAAAGCTTCTGCTCATAATTAAGGTCACCAACATCGAACAAAAGCCATGTTTTAAAAAGTTCCCTCCTAGCAATCCCAAAAGGCGACATTTAATACACGCAACTATGCCAAGGCTTCAAGCAGTCAGAATTGGGTATATGAACATATAACATTCCTCGTATTGAAGAATAGTGCAGTGTCAGATATCATACCTGAAGCCATGTGAGTCATTTATCCTTGATCGGGCATCAGTAACGGGTCTTTGCTGCATCCCCTGTTTAGGTTCCCGATAACCATCAGTAGGTTTAGGTGACACAAAACTTTGAGATGCTTCTGGCTTTATTCCAGAACGCTTCTTCTTCGTTCTTGATTTTTCCCAAGCATCAACACCAATAGATAAAGTCCGATCCTCACCCTGAACCCCACCACTATTTGCAAGTCTTAGCATTTCCCTATCCCTATCTACAGAACCAGGCGGTCTGACAACAGCATTACTCCGAACATCCATCTATAATTATTACAATGGAAATATCAATATTCATGTGATAATGACACAAGAATTGGCATTTACAAATTCAGCATCAATAAATAGCAGACTACCAACAATAAAATCATATAGCATGGGGAGAATGTAGTTAGATAAGCAAGCAATCTCAAAAGATACCATGTTCCTTCGTGGAAAGAAAATGCAACACAAACCACTAATCAAGTTTATACATATTCCTTTTCTTATTTTTTGTTTTCGGAAAGAAACAGACTATTCATTGATATGAAGAAATCACAAGGGTAAACCAACCACCCTCACAAAAGAATATGTATGGCTCTATACCAAAAACATGTATAAATTAAGGTTTAACAATATCTAAGCATAAAACAGTACAGCACCCCACAAAAGAATATGTATGACTCTATCCCAAAAACATGTATAAAATAAAGTTTAACAATATCTAAGCATAAAACAGAACAGCACCCCACACTCAACCAAGAAAAAACAAAAATGAATAGCTTCAAATTTAGTGACAGCTGGAAAGAAAACTAACTGGGCTTCCACAAATAATAGCATTTCATTTTTTGAGTGGTCTCTAACCCCTTCTTGTCTATCTCATTTCAAACATAAAACTTAAGTGGCGTCAAAGAAACAGGGATATCAATTATAATATCTACATCATACATTAGCAGATGATGATTCTTACAAGGAACAAGAAACAGAAAAGGCAATACCCAATCAATAAACAATAAGTGCATTAAATAGTTGTTACGAGTAAACCATAAATATTACTTATATAGAACACTTAATACGGGATAAAAATTGAAAAAATGTGAGACAGAAAGAAGACATTGAAGAACGAAGTTCAGGTTACGTACCCCCCTCACATCCACCATAGAAGTTCGAGTCCGCTTATTTGGAACAGCAGTTTTTGTTCGCTCTTCTGACTTTTGCTGCTCTAGTTCAAAGCCACCAGGTATGGCATGACTAGGAATCCCCATCTTACTAAGGTTTGGTCCCAGGACAGACCTCTCACTTGATAACAAGGCACTGCGCTGCTCATTAGCAAAACTTTCTGATCGTGACCTCTTCTTTGAGGGTATGCTTGGAAAACACTTGTTAAAAACAGATAAGGCTTCATTGAAAAGTTTCATGCGTTCCCTGTTAACCCAGCCAAAAATATAAAATAATTAAAACAAACTAGTAATAATTCCAATCCAAAATACATTAGTTACAAAGAACTACCTGGCCTTGACAGAGTTTTCACGCAGACCAGCCTTGGCTCTTTTAATTTCCTCCGGTACAGGACACGGCAGAAGCTTGCCTTTTGACAAACCATTTGGAGAATCATCTACTGGAACACCAAGAGCAATATTCATGTGTCGTCTAAAGTCTCCTTGACGATTAGACTTATGATCTGCAACAACATCCTTTGGATCAAAAAGCAAGCATCGGAAGAAACTTGACACATCTCCTTGTGTTACTGCAGAACTGCCTCTTGACATGTTTGGAAGAGAAGCTAGGATTGGATTCTCCATGCTCTCACGAAAGCTGCCTGATCTGTCCAGTTGAGCAGCTAAGTGGGATCCACGCTGTCCACTGGTGTATAATGGCCTATCTGGGCTACCAGAAGACAGATCAAACTTGCTAGACATTGCCATTGCATCAGCTTCTGCTCATCCTCTTTGTTACAAACCAAAAAAATGCCGTGGTGCATGACAAAATTGGAGCAGCACAGTACATAAAGGCCAATTTCGATGTTCTGAGGAAAATGACAAGACAATGCACCTGCAAAAAGGAAAAACTAAAGAACAGGCACACAAATCTTAATTCCTTCAAAATTCTATACTAAGCTTCACATGATACTTCCAGATTCACATTTTTAAATACTTAATGCTGACAACAGAAGTGTGACAGAATATAAAAAGTTGGACTGATTCAACATTATCACAAGTATTTCAGTTGCAGAAATATATGAGCATGAAAATAAGCTCAATTGACTCATAAACCAGAAAACTTTTACACCATAAAGTTCCCGTATTAGTTTCTTCAGGTCAATTATAGATGTTGTGGATCCACATTTCGGTTTCCATAATGGTTCAAAAAGATACATATAAAACTTTCTTTTTTCACTTATAAGTACATAATTCATCTATTCACACCTCCCCGTCCAGTTACGAAGCTATGAAATTCTCAACCGTGAAAATGGACTCTTTTTAATGATAAATCAATTTTCTGAACTAATCAACTAGAGAGGCAAGGCACACCACATTTAAAAAAGAATAACTGCTAGCAGTCACCAAATAAAATACAACTCAAACATAACAAATTTTCAAAACCTGATTGCTTGAGGTAAATCATTGCACTTTTTCTATCTTTTCTCATTAAAACTTCTATATATGACAATATCATGTATTCGGTCATAGGCCATCATGTAACTCATCAGTATATTAAAACAGTTTTTCTAACAACTCAAAGTATCTCTTACTTTTATAACAATCCACTTTTCTCCCTTTTTCTCTCACTAAGCATATATACTCAAACAACTAAGCTAGAATAAACCTTTGATCTCACCATCCATCCTATTTTATACGGAGATAAGATCCTTCTAGCATAAAGATCTTTGACAGAATCCAAATGCTTATGCCCCACTTGTATAGAAAACCAGTCTCTGAATTGGTTAACAACTTCATCAATAAGCTATGCCAACATAAACAAAAGAATTCAAGCTCTGTTTCAACTACCAAGACGATCATAACTAGCTACAGGCAGCAAAACTTAGAGATATATGATTATTACAGAAGTTCAAAGCAACTGCTGTCTCCTAAACTAACCACTGCAGCTCACTTTGCAGCAAAAACACAGACAGACAAACCAAGCACGCAAGATGTGACAAACATTAATGGAAACCAAAGCTCAAGAGTTCCATCATGCGAGAAACTTATTTTGACATCAGTTTTAAGCCAATAACATGATAGAAAATAATACAAAAATGGACTGTTAACAACATCAAATGTAACTGGCTCAGATAAAGACATCAAAAATTTACGAAAAACAAATATCAATTAATGCACTGAAATCTTTATTTTTGTCTTATACAAGTGTTTAAGGCAATAAAAACTTAACTAACCTAAGAAGAGCAGTAAAAGAATATTATAAATTATAAAAAGTACTTATGCAATTTCCCAACCTAGAACAAATACTTTTGTCTTATACAAGTGTTTAATACTAGTGTAATAATCTTATACCCACAGTTGGGCCCACCACAGGTCGATTAATCTAAATACAAAATGCGGATTAGCATCCAATTAATTTAGAAAGCAATAAAGCAACATCACTTGGAATGTAGTTTCTGTTACATATCAGTAAGGTATGACTAGAAATCAGGCTTTAGATTTTCCCTCTTTTTACAAAGATATTCCATTATTTTTAACAGACTTGCGACTGCCTCCAAGTTCACTCTCAGTCCATTGAATTCTCCAATAATGATACACAAATACAAGAAAATACTCGTGAAAAAATTTTCCCATTAATTTTACATACATTTCACCATTCCTCAACACATTCTAACCAACAAAAACCACATGTATCAAATGACATGTTCAGCCACGTAAACATGCTTAGTGCAAGCTCAAAATCACTTTTTCTCCTCTAATTCTTCTATTTCATTGTTCAATCTCCCTTCATTGAACAAAACCTCCGCAAAACCATTAAATAGACAATTGCAAAGATTAATAACCATAAAAACCCTAGAACTTCAATACAACACAAACCTTAAAAAAATAACGAAATCTACCTTCAATTAACCTAAATAACAACTTAAGAGCTAAAATAGTAAACCCTAGAAGTAGAAGAAACGTAAAAAATGAAGACATTTGAATCTACCTTGAATCACGACAATGATGAATCTTTCTATAAGAGGTGTTACGAAGCATTAAAGAATCTACAGATTGTGGGTTTTAATTGGAAAATTGCGAGAGATTGTGTGATTTGGAGCTCGAAATCGAAATCAAAGTTCGTACAAAGCCATTGAAGCCTGTGTTTTGATCGGCAATGGAACTAGCCGTTGTACAATTACTGCCTCATCCATCATTTGTTTTATTTACGAATAAAATTGGAATTTTGGGTAGGGATATTTTGGGAAGAAAAGTGTTAAGCCGGCTCCAAGCGTCAGACAGCTCCTAGTTGACCTGTAGATATGTGAATGTGAGTCTAAATTTGGACGACATTAACTGACGTGGAAAATGTCAGAAGTTTTAATATTTATTTATTTGTACTAAATGAAATGACAATTTATGCATGTGAAAGTTTGGTTAGTTATTATTTTAATTGTCTCTTATTATTATACGGTATCTAATGAGATATCAAAACATAAATTAATTAAAAATATTTTTTAGATTTTTATAAAAGCATTTCTATATTTAAACATCCTTTAATAACTTTTTATTACTCAGGAACGTCCATAAAAGATGATAGATTTATGTCACTAAAGTAGTATGCAAGAAAAGCACAAGACTGCATTTATTTAAGATAGATGCTATAATAATGGAACAAAACATTTAAAAAAAAAAAAAAAAAGATTATACTCTAATTAATATCAATATGATGATATAATTATGATTGCAGATAATTTAATTAATGCTTATTATTGAATTTAATAACACTATCAACCTAATACTATCTCTTTTTACTCTTTAAATTCATCAAAACCATAACCGAGGAGTTAGGTGCCTGGAATTATTTTAGTGAAGAGAGGGTACAATATATATTATATTAATCCCCAGGTTAGTTTAGTTTTTGTCTATTTAAACTCTAATTTGACTTGATTTTGATCACTGAAGTATCTATTGTATTTTTATAAATCCTAAACCCCTAAAAAATAAAATTAGGAGAATTTTTTTGACCCCAAATTTATAAAATTTACAAACAAACCCCTAACTAATATAAAGTTAATTAAAATGGTGAGTTTAGGAATGTTTTATTCAATTATATATCTATTTAATTTTGTTCATTTTCAAAATTATTAATACCCTTTATTGACTGCATTATCGAAAGATTTCAGAGACCAGCTGGATTACTTGACTTGTTTCGTATTTTTTGAGTGTGTTAAAAACGCTTTACTTATGTTTCTACATATTTTCATTTGGGTTAACTTAGGTGTTACAGGATTTTATATTCAACCAAGTATTCAGATAATCAAAATGCAAGGATTAACTTTTATTATTGATGAAAATTGGCACTGGAAATATTAAATCTAAAAATTGTACAACTTGGCTAATTCCAACAAATGTAAGTGCAGAAGTAGTTCAATGAAAATATCAAACTTAGATTTTATGTTGTTCAAAGGGTTTGAACTTTTGGATTATAATATCTTAGCAACAAGCATTCCAATATAGTTGTAGTAAAAAATATAGGGAAACGGAATTGTCTTAGAGAACATGGTATAGATAATGCTATGTATATAAGGTGATGTAAATCACAACATATACGAAATTTGTATGTATATATATAAATGGTGATTTCTGTGGATGAAATTCACTATGAAAAGTTTCATCTGACTTCTCCCTCATTGAATGCATTTATAACGAAGGCAAGAGGTAGTTTGATCCTCTGTTTTAAAAACCGGACCGGACCTGCCGGTCGGACCAGTTAGATCAGGAACCGGTAGCTTCTCCGGTCCGGTTTAGGTCTCAGGGGGTTTTGAAATATTTTAAAATTATGAGGGTTACTTTGTAATTTTATAGGGGTATTTTGAAGATATATCAAAAGTTTAGGAATTAATTGGTAATTTTATTGGGGCATTTTTTGAATAAATAAAAATTTTAGGGACCAATTTGAACTTTTTTAGGGGAATTTTTGTAATATATAAGATTTAAGAGGTTAATATGTAAATTTTTAAAAATAAAATATTGTTGACGTCATCGGTACAACCAAAACCGTGACCCGGATAGCACAATGGTTTGCTCTCCGGTCCGGGTTTTAAAACAATGGTTTGATCATGAATTTATTTTCTATCATGATAAAATAATTTTAAAGATTTTGTATTTTTCAGATTTACAAAATGTTTGATGATGATGCCTTTGACATAAATGTAAATGATAAAAAATAATAATAATAAAAATAAATTTGAAATATAATATTAGTATTAGTAATAATTTACAGGTCAAGTTAGAGTTACTTAGAGCTGGGCATTTGGGACCGGGCCCAAAAGCCCAGCTCCAAAAATCGGTCCTAGGAGGCCTGGTCTCAAAACGGGACCAGGCCTTAGGAGGAGGGCCCGGGCCCTCCACTGGGCCCTCCTCCAAGGCCCGGGCCTGGGACTGGTCCCAGGCCTGGGCCCAAAAATTTTTGTATATTTTCAATGTAGTCCCTTGTCAAACTATATAAAACCCCCTGTTAATTCTAAATAGATATAAATTACGAGGGTTAAAATGAAATTTTACAAAATTTATTAAAAAAAAAATCTTCCAGGTCTAAAAATTTTATAAAATTTACAAATTTTACCCCTAAAAAATACTAAAAACCCCCTATAAAATTTCATTTTACTCCCAAAATATAAAAAAATTTGAGGGGGGAAATGAAATTGTCCAAGGCCCATGGGACTGGTCCTAGGACCGGTCCTGGGCCCATGGGATCAACATGATAGAAAATAATACAAAAATGGACTGTTAACAACATCAAATGTAACTGGCTCAGATAAAGACATCAAAAATTACGAAAAACAAATATCATTAATGCACTGAAACTTTATTTTTGTCTTATACAAAGTTTAAGGCAATAAAACTTAACTAACCTAAGAAGAGCAGTAAGAGAATTATAAGTTATAAAAAGTACTTATGCAATTTCCCAACCTAGAACAAATACTTTTGTCTTATACAAGTGTTTAATACTAGTGTAATAATCTTATACCCACAGTTGGGCCCACCACAGGTCGATTAATCTAAATACAAAATGCGAATTAGCACAATAATTTAGAAAGCAATAAAGCAACATCACTTGGAATGTAGTTTTGTACATATCACTAAGGTATGACTAGAATCAGGCTTTAGATTTTCCCTCTTTTTACAAAGATATTCCATTATTTTTAACAGACTTGCGACTGCCTCCAAGTTCACTCTCAGTCCATTGAATTATCCAATAGATACACAAAGACACAAAATACTCGTGAAAAAATTTCCCATTAATTTTACATAATTTCACCATTCCTCAACACATTCTAACCAACAAAAACACATGTATCAAAGACATGTTCAGCCACGTAAACATGCTTAGTGCAAGCTCAAAATCATTTTTCTCCTCTAATTCTTCTATTTCATTGTTCAATCTCCCTTTATGAACAAACCTCCAAAACCATTAAATAGACAATTGCAAAGATTAAAACCATAAACCCTAGAACTTCATACAACACAAACTTAAAAAATAACGAAATCTACCTTCAATTAACCTAAATAACAACTTAAAAGCTAAAATAGTAAACCCTAGAAGTAGAAGAAACGTAAAAGTTGAAGACATTTGAATCTACCTTGAATCACGACAATGATGAATCTTTCTATAAGAGGTGTACGAGCATTAAAGAATCTCAGATTGTGGGTTTTAATTGGAAAATTGCGAGAGATTGTGTGATTTGGAGCTCGAAATCGAAATCAAAGTTCGCACAAAGCCATTGAAGCCTGTGTTTTGATCGGCAATGGAACTAGCCGTTGTACAATTACTGCCTTATCATCATTTGTTTTATTTAAGAATAAAATTGAATTTTGGGTAGGGATATTTTGGGCCCCACACTCAACCAAGAAAAAACAAAAATGAATAGCTTCAAATTTAGTGACAGCTGGAAAGAAAACTAACTGGGCTTCCACAAATAATAGCATTTCATTTTTTGAGTGGTCTCTAACCCCTTCTTGTCTATCTCATTTCAAACATAAAACTTAAGTGGCGTCAAAGAAACAGGGATATCAATTATAATATCTACATCATACATTAGCAGATGATGATTCTTACAAGGAACAAGAAACAGAAAAGGCAATACCCAATCAATAAACAATAAGTGCATTAAATAGTTGTTACAAGTAAACCACAAATATTACTTATATAGAACACTTAATACGGGATAAAAATTGAAAAAATGTGAGACAGAAAGAAGACATTGAAGAACGAAGTTCAGGTTACGTACCCCCCTCACATCCACCATAGAAGTTCGAGTCCGCTTATTTGGAACAGCAGTTTTTGTTCGCTCTTCTGACTTTTGCTGCTCTAGTTCAAAGCCACCAGGTATGGCATGACTAGGAATCCCCATCTTACTAAGGTTTGGTCCCAGGACAGACCTCTCACTTGATAACAAGGCACTGCGCTGCTCATTAGCAAAACTTTCTGATCGTGACCTCTTCTTTGAGGGTATGCTTGGAAAACACTTGTTAAAAACAGATAAGGCTTCATTGAAAAGTTTCATCCGTTCCCTGTTAACCCAGCCAAAAATATAAAATAATTACAACAAACTAGTAATAATTCCAATCCAAAATACATAAGTTACAAAGAACTACCTGGCCTTGACAGAGTTTTCACGCAGACCAGCCTTGGCTCTTTTAATTTCCTCCGGTACGGGACACGGCAGAAGCTTGCCTTTTGACAAACCATTTGGAGAATCATCTACTGGAACACCAAGAGCAATATTCATGTGTCGTCTAAAGTCTCCTTGACGATTAGACTTATGATCTGCAACAACATCCTTTGGATCAAAAAGCAAGCATCGGAAGAAACTTGACACATCTCCTTGTGTTACTGCAGAACTGCCTCTTGACATGTTTGGAAGAGAAGCTAGGATTGGATTCTCCATGCTCTCACGAAAGCTGCCTGATCTGTCCAGTTGAGCAGCTAAGTGGGATCCACGCTGTCCACTGGTGTATAATGGCCTATCTGGGCTACCAGAAGACAGATCAAACTTGCTAGACATTGCCATTGCATCAGCTTCTGCTCATCCTCTTTGTTACAAACCAAAAAAATGCCGTGGTGCATGACAAAATTGGAGCAGCACAGTACATAAAGGCCAATTT